AGTTAATACCTATAAACTATAACTATCAATGTGAATGGATTCAATCCAATACAGCAGAATGGATCAAGAAACAAAATCCAACAGTATGCTGTATACAGAAACGTAAGCAACTTAAAACTAAATTCATACACTAAAAATCAACAAATGGAAAGCAATATTCTATGTAGCAGAAACCCAAAAACAAGTAGCAGTCCTATTTTCAGTCAAAGTGTGTGTCCAGCCAAAACTTATCAAAATAGATGAAGAAAGATGTTATATATTAGTTAACGGAACTATCCAACTGGGAGAGATAATGATGATAAACATATATGCAACAAGCCACAGTGCACTCAACATCATAAAACAAACTCTAATACACATGAAAAAGATAAGACAATAATCAGTACAATTGCTACTGAACCCTCACAAATAGACCAACTAAAATATCAACATAGAAATATTAGAGTTGAACAGAACATTTGAACAAATGGTCTTAATGGATATCTCTAGTGTTCCACCCAACAGAATACACATTCTTTTCATGGTTCTTTCTCCAAAACAGACCACATACTAACTCATAAAGCATTCTTAAGTATATACAAAAGAACTAAAATCTTACCATGCATTTCATCAGATCGTAGTGCAATGAAACTAGAAATCAAAAGCAAAACAAATCACAGAAACTGTGCAAATGTATGGAAATTAACACATTTATGAGTAATAAATGTCTCAGAAAATAATTAAGGAAGAATTAAGACATTTCTTAGAACTAAATGAAAATCCAGTACCACATACCAAAATGTATGAGACACAGTGAAACGAGTTCTACACGGGAAGCTTACAGCTGTAAATGCCCACAACAGAGAAACAGAAGCAACACAAATAAATAACCTGGTAATATATTTCACGGTCCTAGAAAAACAAGAAAGATGAAAATCTAGAGGTTGCACAAAAGCTCAGTTATAAAACTATAGCAGAAATGAATGAAATACAGAATAAAGAATCATGCAAAGAACAACTAAGACTTGGTTCTTTGAAAGGTTAAAAAACTCAGACAGATACTTAGGCAATCTTGCCAAAAAAAAGAAAGAAAGAAAGAAAGAAAGAAAGAAAAGGTCCATATCAGCACAATTAGAAATTAAAAAGTTGAAATCTCATTAAGAAACTGCAAAAATCTAAAAAATTATTGGCAACGAATTCACAAACCTATATACCAAAAAGTCAGAGAACTCAAAAGAAATAGGGAGATTCCTAAATACATATAAATTACTAAAACAGAACCAAGAAGGTATAAAAATCTTAAATAATCCATAACAGGCAATGAAATTTAAGCAGTAATAAAAAACCTACCAAGTAAGAAAAGCTCAGGACCTTACGGATGGACTCCCAAATTCTACAGAACTTCAAGAAAGATCTAACACTAGTGCTGCTCAAACGCTTTAATGAAATCAACAGAGGAGTACTCAAATACTCCTAAAATCATTCTTGGAAGCTAGCATTACCCTGATCCCACAAGAATCCAATCAAAAAAGGAAACTATAAGCCAATCTCCTTAACGAATACAGATGCAAAATTCATCACCAAGCTACTAGCAAACAGAATGTATTACATCATCAAAAAGATGATATATGCAATGAGGTAGGCTATATCCAAGGGGTACAAGGACGGTTTAATGTATACATATCAATAAATGTAATCCATCACATAAACAGAAGCAAGAACAAAAATCACAAGATCATCTCAACAGGTTCAGAAAAACTTTTGACAAAATTCAACACCCATTCATGATTAAAAAAAAAAAAACTGAAGAAAAGAGGTATAGAAGAACTATACTGAGTCTTATACAAACCATTGATGAACTATATCTCACCCTCTACTAAAGCCAAATAAAAACTGATCAAAAGCCTAGGCATATGCCTTTAATATTTGAAACTTCTGAAGGAAAACACAAGGAGATATTTGAACCCACAGATATAGTCAAACACTTTCTGAACAAAACTCCAATAGTGCAGGAAACAATAACAAGAAGCAACAAATATATCTACATAAAATTAAAAAGTTTTTCACACAACCAGGAAAACAACTAACAGTCAAGAGACAGGATGGAAATCTTTGCCAACTACTATTCTCACAGAAGATAACTATCTTGAATGTATAAAGAATTTTAACAACAAAGAATCAGATCACTAATCACCAAGGGGTAAGGAAACTGAACAGATACATTTTAAGAGAAGTTCAAATATCTAGCAGATGGGCCTGGAATTTAGCTCAGTGGCATAAGCGCCTGCCTGGCGAGCTCAAGGTTGTGAGTTCAATCCCTGATACAAAAAAAAAAAAAAAAAAAAAAAAAAAAAAATCCAGCTGGTACAAGAAAAGGCATTCAATATCTTTAGCCATTTACAAAAGGCAAATCAAAACTACATTGATATTCCATATCACCCTACTTACAATTGCTATATTTAGCAACACACAGACAAAAAACCCCAAATATATATATAAATAAATAAATGCTCGTGAAGATGTAGGGGAAAAAGAAAACTTCTGTATCCTGATGGTAATGTAAATTAATGTAGTCAATGTAGAAATCAGCAGGGCAGGTCTTCAAATATCTAAAAAAGCAGCCAACATTTGATCCAGCTATATCACTCCTTGGTATACATCTGAAAGACTTAAAGTCAGCAAACTATAGAAATATCTACATACCCCTGCTTATTGCAGCACAACTGACAGCGCAACCAGACCAAATGAATAACCAACTAACGCATGGATAAAAAAGAAAATTATATATATATTCATATAACACACACACACAATGGAATGTAATTTGTCCATAAGGAAAAACAAAACTGTTTTTTGCAGGAATATGGATGAATCTGGAGACCAACATATTGAGTGAAATAAGCCACACTCAGAAAGATATACTATGTTCTTCTTTTATTAGACGCGAAGAAAGGAAGAAGAGGGAAAAATAAGAGAGACAAAGGTGGATAATACAAGGAGTAGATATGAGCAAAATGCATTTTACACAATGGCGTGAAAAAGAGTGACATTTTTGGGGAGAGTGGGGGCAAAGAGGTGATAGACAGTGAAAGTGATTCAGGAATGACATGCGTATGTACAAATTTGCCAGAATAAAACACTTTAATCTTTATAGCAAATAAAAAAGTTAAAAAACTTTTTACACCTATTTATAATGGCCATTTCAAAATCCTTCCCTACTACTGCCAAAAATATCTACATCTCGGGGTCTGTTGACATTAGCCAGTTTTCTTGTCCATTACTTACTGTTTTTGGTTTTCTACATTATTTTTTATCAAGTGTATGTTGCGAGTGCTCCGTAACTGGACATCTGAATTTTACTGTGTCCCTTTCAGTGATTGTTATAGTTTGTACCTGGATGTTTTCCCAAATCCTCCTGTGATTATAGGTGGGGGTTTGAAGGTGGGTAGATTAGGGCCCGTGAATGTGAATTAAGGATGTGGATAATGGAAGCCCCGCCCTGGGTATGGGCGGCACCAATCAACAATTTACAGCCTGGGGAGATATAAAAGGAAGGAAAAAGGCGGCCCTGTTTTTGTTGCTCACTCTTTGCCTGCTTGCTGTCTTCCTGCCTGTCACACCTTGGAACATTTCTCCTCTATGATGCTCCTCTGCTTTGTCACCTTACTGTAAAACCACCAACTATGTACTGAAAACTCTACAAACTGTGAGCTGAAATAAATCTTTCCTCCATTAAATTTATGTGCCAGGTATTTTTTCTCAGCAATGAGAAAAGTCACTAAGACAAGGATCATGCACTTTAATTTATCAGCAGGTAATCTGGGGCTGCTCAGCCTTACCATGTTGAATTGTTGTGCCTTTTATTAAAATATGCTTAAAGCAATCTTTTGTACTCTGGCAGAGGGTAGCCCTACTCTCCAGGTGTGGTCTTTCTGGGTTCTCTGCTAAATGAGTGGAATGTCTTAGGAGACCTCTGCTACATTTTCATAATCCCAGTGTCTTCTGGTACCATTTAGACTGAAAGTTAGGGCATCACAAAGCTGACTGGGAAAATAGACATGACTTGTTAAATACACGATCCTGGACACACCACAAAACAGATCACAAAGCCCTGCGTGTGGTATTCTCGGGAGAATTGAAGCAGATTTTCAATAGGATGGCCTGGACCTGACATCAGCTTGAGGTGTGAGGTCCCCGCCCTGCTCTCAGGAGCCAGATGTAGAAGTTCTTGCAGATTTTCTCAAAATTTGGATAGCATAAAAGGACACAAGCAGCATGCTGCTGTCTTCACATCCCACCTTGAGTCCTCCAGAGTCATCCTTCGTCTTCCTCTTTACTCAGCCCAAGCTTGCTCTGCAGATCCAGTTTATCCCTCACTCTTCACTTCTACTGTTCAAATACATGGTGCCACTGCTTTTTGCTCATCTAACTCAATTCTTTGTTCCAGTAAGAAGAACCAGGAATCCAACTCCAGAAGCAGAGATGAGCAACACAAAACCCATAACATTTTGTGAGCCATTTTTAGAAAGAGCTACCAATAACACCATGAAACCTCTGGGGTTTCAGGAAGTTCATGGTCTCTTCCATGAGAACTTTCCAGATCTCATAAAACCTTGTGTTATACACATCTAGCCAGCATTTCCCAGAGAATCACAGGAACCACCATGCACATTTCTGGCAGTTATTTTCTAAGCAGTTTCTTCCTCTGCATTACCCTGGCCAGCACATTCCACCCATTCAGGGCTACCAGATTCTGATCTCAGTGTGGGACACTCAGTGACACTAGGGGTCTCAGTGTGGATTCCACTTCTTCAAACCATAGGTTAGAAAGTGACCCCAGATGAAAACATAAAGTGAATATAAAGCTTATGTCATACATTTCACTATTTCCAAGAATCCAATTGTATGAGTTAGTTTTCTGTCACTATGGCAAAATCTCCAAGATAATTAACTTTATTTTTTCTAATTTTATTTTAAAGAGAATAAAGCCAAACAAAATGAAACAGAATTAAACCAATCAAAGCAAAACAATGAAAATGATACATGACTTCAAAACAAGGTAGTAGGAAGTTCCCAGTGGTCACCTCCTTCCCTTCCTTTTTACACATTTCCTCCCCTTCTACCTTCACAGTGTATACTGTACATTTTGGGTTTCACTTCTTTGGGGTTTTTTTCTCTGTAATTTTAAAGGGAATAAAACAGCAATAAAGAAAACTGGAACAGTGATAAATCATTAGAAAATCTGCAGTAGTTACTACTATATTGCATATTCTTGTCCTCTAAATAGTTGCAAAGTCAATCAAACAACACAGTTCCTCTGAATGAACTGGTTGGTTGCCCCTGGCGGGTGGTGGGGCTGTTGTCCTCTCCACAGCCTGTGCACCCCTGCAGCAAGGCAGGGGTTCCGCTTCCTTCACTGTTCTCCCTGATCCACATTCTGAGTGGCTCACAGGGGGGCTCAGCTTCCTTGCTCCTTCTCCCCAATCATGCTCCAGATGGCTCACAGGCAGGGCTCAGCTTCCATTATGACAACTAACTTTAAAAGAAGAAAGACTATTTTGACTCACAGCTTTGGAAATTGAAGATCCTAATAAATCAGTCTCTGTGTTGGGGTGTGTGGCAAGACCAAATATCAGGGCAGAGGTACATGGTGGAAGAAGCTACCTTCCTCACAGTTAGCAAGCAAAGAGAAGGGAAAAGTAGCTAAGGTCCCACAATTCCCTTTGTAGACATGCTCCAGATGATCCGAGGACTGCCCACTAAGTTCTATGTCTTAAACCTTCCAGTGGAAATCCCCTGCAAACCAAGGCTTTGACACATAAGTTGGATTTGGAGTACATTCCACATCCTATCTTTACCACAGCTGAAAACAGTCTATTCACATTATTTTTGTCTCTTTTTTTATTTTTTACAGCAAGAAGTTGCTGTCTTTGTACCATTACGGATGCAGTTAGAATTTTTTCCCCGTTATTTCCCTGGTAAAACTAATCCCCACATTCTACAGTGTCCATAATCTCATTTGTATACACCTCTGATTTTCCCTTCTAGATCTCAAGCTCTGCAAGTGTAAGCACTAATAAGCAAGGTTGGGAACATAGAAGACATCAATAAATTTACTGTATTTTTTAAAGTAAACGATTAAATTCTTTCTACTTACAGTGTGACATGCTTATTTACAAAAGTAATCTAAGTGTCCCACTTTTATGAAAATCCATTAACTACTTGACAAAATTTAAGAGGGCAACATCAATGTTGGACTATCTAAATTTCCAGAGAACATAGATTTTGCTTTCATTGTAAGAGAATAATGCCCCCAGATTACAGCAAATTTACCAGTATGGTTAAATGAGTTGGGGGAGCTTAGGTTCTGCTCTGGTATTCTGGTATCAGTGACTGAAGGGAGAGCATATGTGCCTTTGATCGGGAGAGATGGCACTGCCCCTGAAACCACTCCTTCCTAACTCTTGAGAACCTCTTCACAACACTTACTAGGAGATTAAAAATGGAAACATCCAGTGAATCTGCCAATAGCAGTTCAGAGCTAAAGACAGACACTGCCCAACTTCTAATACCATATTCACCTCTCCGAATTTGCTAATGAGTTTATTACTGAATAAATAAAAGGACTTGATAAAAGAAGTAAATTAGACCTTACTTTTGAAATTAAGACCTCTGCATGAGATATGCAACCAAGTTATTATCTTTTTTATTTTGACAATACATAAGCATTTGCAAAGTACTTTCATGTGCAGTATCATCTACTAGTTCTCTATTGGGCTTTCACCAGATAATCTCCCTTGGAAAGACAGGAGACAAACTTTGGTAAACTACTCTGCCCAACTCAAACTTAAACAAAATCTAGGGAAGCTAGACAGGTCCACTGGAGAGCAATAAAAGAAAAGAATTAAACCAACCTCAGAAGAGAGGTTAAAGGAATAAGGGTTGTTTCAGAGAGAACCAGGCCTCACCCGGAGGTGACCTCCACCTGGAACCCAGCACCAAGCGTGTGCTGCTGCCAGAGTGAGGACAGCTCACCCAAGCCTCTCTCCCAAGTCAGCGCCATTCAGGAGCTGGAGGGGGAGAGAACAGGCCTCACTGGGAGATGATGCCCGCCTGGAAACCATACCACCGTCATTGTTTTGTTGGGTTGGGTTTTATTCTCTTTTGTTTTGTTTGATGACGTTAAATCTGATGGCATTAGCAGCTACTTGAAAAATAGCAAGCCATTTGGGATTTAGTATTGTCTTATTTTGAAGTCCTTTATTGCATACATGGTTTTGCTTTATTATTTCTATTCTATTCTGCTCTGTTCGATCTTTACTATGTCCGAAGGTATCTGCAGCTACTCTGAAGACAACAAAAGGCTTCATGGTAACTATTACTGGTTTCAGTAGGTTTTGAAGTCCTGTACCACTTATACTGGTTTATTTTGATTGGTTTTATTCTGTTTTATTTTCTTTGGTTTTAGCTTCTTTAAAATAAAAGAATAAGGATTGTTTCAATTTGAAGAGCAGAAGGTTACTATAAATATTGAAGCACTAAAAAATTAGCATACAAGGGTCATGAACTATGAGCCATGAGAACAGAAAAAGAGAAAACTGACAGCTAGAAGAGAAACAAATTTGTGTTAAATCTAAGCAGGAACCTGGAAGAACTTTGGTGTGGAAATATAATGGGAAGAGGGTGTGGGGGTGGGAGCAACCAAAAGGCTCAGAGGGAAACCGGAAGAAAACATGATTAAGACCCTTTATGAATCTTATTGTCTCACCAAGATGAATGTAATTATTATGTATCACAAACATACGCCACTAAAAGCGAATAATCAGATACGGATCTATTTTTAAAAGTATATGTTATGATGTAATAATGTAGATTGAGTTCTTTCATAAATCAGAAAGGTTTTCATTGTCAGCATGTTCCTTTTGCCTTGCTTATCCATAAGTAGAAACCTCCTTATAAGGCCAGGTAGTACCTGGACCTGCAACTTCCGAGTCTGAGCTGCCATATAGTGCATCTGGAAGTTTTTAGAACACCACACCATAAGCATCGGGCAGGATAAGGCAGAAGAGACTTATTCTTACTTCTGCTTTATCAAAATTAACAATATTACAAAGATGTCAGTGAGTTTTACCACACAATTTATGATTTCCAGGCCACTAAACCTGTATTATCTGTATATTTTTATTCATTGAGAGAGATACAGTTATCTCTGTTTTCACACAAAAACATATTCTTACTGAAAAATAGTTGCTAAGATATAATTTGACTGAGGCAATGAAAACATGATTAAGGAGTTCACACAGTAGAGAAAAACATCAAATTCTAATTAAAATCAGGAAAAGGAAAAGAAATGAGACCATTATGGCATCAAGTAGGTCAACACCGGAAAGATGAGACCACTCTTTCATCTTTTATTCAGGTGTTCTGAAATCCAAAAATGTTAGCCATGATACAATTTTAAAGTAGTTTAAAATTTTAAATAAAGTTTCGGTGACAAAACACTTCCTAGGGTTGGTTATAAGGTGTGGAGCTGTGAAAATTTAGATGAAGAGGAACAGCATCAATTTCTAAGAGGTGTGATTGGCCAAGAAGCCTTCGCCTCGGAGGCAGATCTTGAATACTCACCAAAGAATGCCTTGAATATTATAAGGGGTGATAGCTGTGCTGCAGACTTCCAAAGACTTCTAGAGTAATACAAGAATAATCCCAACCGTATTTAGGAACCGGATAGTACTCCATTTGGCTGAACTCCATAATATATATAATTACAGAGAGCTATCAAGATAAGTTGGAAGTAGATATTAAGTCCCTGAAATTACCAATTAGAAGCATTATAAGGGAAACTTCTCAGTAAAGAGATTTCATTTTCATTACTGGCACTCACTAATTTTATTTTTTATTTTTATTTAAAGAAAATAAAACCAAGCAAAATAAAACAGAACAAAGCCAATTAAAACAAACCTGTGTGCGTGACACAGCACTTGAAAACATTATGAAATCAACAATGTTGCCAGCATGCCTTTTGATGTCTTCAAAATAGCTACAGATACCTTCAGACATAGTAAAAATCAAAACAGAACAGAATAGAACCAATAAAAACAAAGCAATGAATGCAATACAGGACTTCAAAACAAGACAATAATAAATCCAAAATGGCTACACAATATATCTTGTTAATCTTCAAAACACTTGCCCATGCATTGGATATAATAAAGTGAAACAAAACATAACAGAATAAAACCCAAACCAACAAAACGATGAAAATGATACAGGATTTCAAAACAAGATGGTTGGGAATTAACAATGGCTACCACCTTTAGAAGGCAATGCCCCATAGATGTTACCCTGCATACTGTTATCCTGAATAGATGATCAGACTACTGGCTTTAGACCTGCAAAGTCAGTGAAACACTAAACACCGCAAGCCTCAAATTGTATTTTACCTCAATAGCTGTCATCACAGCCTGTGTTTCTCTCGATCAGCCTGGTGCCCGTGGAGGGGCTGTGGAAGCTGGCTCTTCTTGTTTCCCAGCCCACACACCAGAAGAGGTTGGCATCTGGCTGTATCCACAGTGGCCTGTGCATGGTGCTCATTCACAAGGAAGGCTTGTTTCTTGGTGACATCTTGCTCTGTTCCCTGAAGTCCATGAGTGTCAGCACTCACTAATTGACAGAGAAAGACTAGAATTTTTTCCTGAGAAGAAACTGGGGCCATGTTCTCACACATCAAGAAAAATGCTTTCATCAAATAATATCTGCCATGGTCACTAAAAGGAGTTCTCAGTGAGATTCTCCAGGCATTTGGCTACTTGGCCTCTGTGTTAGCTAATTTCTTGTCACTGGGACAGAACATCTGACACCCACAACTTAAAAGAAGAAAGGATTAGTTTGGTTCATGATTTTGGAGGGCTCAGTACAGTCAGGGGCTCCAAGGCAGAAACATTATGGTAGAAGGGCTTGCTGGAGGAAAGCAGAGAATGAAGCCAGGAGCCAGCCACAAGAATACACCCCTCGAGGTCATGCCCCAGTGACCTTCTCTTCTGGCAGGCCCACCTCCCAACAGGATATTCAGCTATGAACTTGTCAGGAATGACACCACTAATGAATAGATTGTCCCCATGACCCTATCACCTTCTAAAAGACCCACTTCAAAATATACGTGACTTTGGGGGGACATTGTAGGTTTAAACCATAACAAACACATTTGACATTGTGGTTTAAAAATGAAATATGAGTTCAAGTAGCTCCCATTCTGGAGGAAGTAGAAACAGGAAACTAAAAATGTTTAGTGTAGCATACAAAGTGACCACTGTACCTGAGTACCTTTGGAGAGTCTTTTGGAGCAGAAAGGCCAAAGCTGTGGGAGATGTTTTGGAAGAGAATAGTTCCAGCCTCTGAAATCAGAATCAGACAAGCAGAGTTTTAATAGTCACTGCCACAGAAACATCCTTGACTCCAAATTTAGAGATTAGCATTTCATTTAAATGATGAAAAAGTACACAAGATTTAAATATTTTAATTATGTATGTATATGTATACACATTGTATGTGTATTGATGAGTTTTTAAAAAATAATAGCAGATATATATATAGTGAATTGTATATATATATATATATATATCCCAGTACATGTATATATACCCAATACGATTCCAAAGACAAACTTCAGCCATTAACATTTACAACCCAGGGAGATGTTTTTCCTTTCTCCAATTTCTAGGTACAGCGGATTCTCCACTACACTTCTAAATCTCTGCCCCTGTATTTTGCAGCCTACCACGTGTTTCATTCGAGACTGTGGCCTCCAGGCTGCTGCTTCCCTAACACTATGCTTAAGGTACTTGCCTTGACATAGAAACAAAGTAAAACCTCTCTGCAGCATCCTAGTGAATCCACAGCACACACACACACACACACACACACACACACACACACACACACGCACGCCTCAGCTGCCTCACTGTCTGTGTCACCCTGCTCTCCCGTGTCGGAATTTCTTTTTCAGAAGACACCGAGCCTCCCCTCCTCAACTCCTCTTTATACCATTATAAAATACTGCCCCACTCTGAATCCAGAAAATGTATCAGTCTATTTTTATCAAAAAGAAAAGAGACAAAAGAATTTCACCGCAAACAGAATGCTGATTCTAGGTATCGCTTAAAACAGTACAATTCCATATATATATCCTAACAGAGGAATTCCAGATTTTTAGAATTTTGATAGGTTTGTTTTTTGGGGTTTTGGTTTTTTTTTTTTTTTTTTTCATATTTTCCCCACTACTGTGTGTTTCTTCTCAAGTAAGAAACTCAGCAGAAAACATTTCTCAAGTAAGAAACTCAGCAGAAAACATTTTCATTCTCTTAAAACTTCACTGTGATCACGGGGCGCCCTCTAGGGAGGCAGGGGCGCCCCACAACTCGCCCAGAAGGTCGCGAAGAGTCTGACCGGTGCGCCCCCTGGTGGGCGTTCCTGGGAGCCTCCGGCCCTGCACGGCCAGCGGAAGCCTCCCTGGCAGAAGTCCCCCCTTCCCTGGCAGAGGTCGCCCCTTCCCTGGCAGAGGTCGCCCCTTCCCTGGCAGAGGTCCCCCCTTCCCTGGCAGAGGTCGTCCCTTCCCTGGCAGAGGTCCCCCCTTCCCTGGCAGAGGTCGTCCCTTCCCTGGCAGAGGTCCCCCCTTCCCTGGCAGAGGTCCCCCTTCCCTGGCAGAGGTCCCCCCTTCCCTGGCAGAGGTCCCCCCTTCCCCGGCAGAGGTCGCCCCTTCCCCGGCAGAGGTCCCCCCTTCCCCGGCAGAGGTCCCCCCTTCCCTGGCAGAGGTCGCCCCTTCCCTGGCAGAGGTCCCCCTTCCCTGGCAGAGGTCCCCCCTCCCCTGGCAGAGGTCCCCCCTTCCCTGGCAGAGGTCCCCCCTCCCTGGCAGAGGTCCCCCCTTCCCTGGCAGAGGTCCCCCCTTCCCTGGCAGAGGTCCCCCCTTCCCTGGCAGAGGTCCCCCTTCCCCGGCAGAGGTCCCCCCTTCCCCGGCAGAGGTCCCCCCTTCCCCGGCAGAGGTCCCCCCTTCCCTGGCAGAGGTCCCCCCTTCCCTGGCAGAGGTCCCCCCTCCCTGGCAGAGGTCCCCCCTTCCCTGGCAGAGGTCCCCCTTCCCTGGCAGATGTCCCCCCTTCCCTGGCAGAGGTCCCCCCTTCCCTGGCAGAGGTCCCCCCTTCCCTGACAGAGGTCCCCCCTTCCCTGGCAGAGGTCCCCCCTTCCCTGGCAGAGGCCCCCCCTTCCCCGGCAGAGGTCGCCCCTTCCCCGGCAGAGGTCCCCCCTTCCCCGGCAGAGGTCGCCCCTTCCCCGGCAGAGGTCCCCCCTTCCCTGGCAGAGGTCCCCCCTCCCTGGCAGAGGTCCCCCCTTCCCCGGCAGAGGTCGCCCCTTCCCCGGCAGAGGTCCCCCCTTCCCTGGCAGAGGTCCCCCCTTCCCTGGCAGAGGTCCCCCCTCCCTGGCAGAGGTCCCCCTTCCCTGGCAGAGGTCCCCCCTTCCCTGGCAGAGGTCCCCCCTTCCCTGGCAGAGGTCGCCCCTTCCCTGGCAGAGGTCCCCCCTTCCCTGGCAGAGGTCCCCCCTTCCCTGGCAGAGGTCGCCCCTTCCCTGGCAGAGGTCCCCCCTTCCCTGGCAGAGGTCGCCCCTTCCCTGGCAGAGGTCGCCCCTTCCCTGGCAGAGGTCCCCCCTTCCCTGGCAGAGGTTCCCCCTTCCCTGGCAGAGGTCCCCCCTTCCCTGGCAGAGGTCGCCCCTTCCCTGGCAGAGGTCCCCCCTTCCCTGGCAGAGGTCGCCCCTTCCCTGGCAGAGGTCGCCCCTTCCCTGGCAGAGGTCCCCCCTTCCCTGGCAGAGGTCCCCCCTTCCCTGGCAGAGGTCCCCCCTCCCTGGCAGAGGTCCCCCCTTCCCTGGCAGAGGTCCCCCTTCCCTGGCAGAGGTCCCCCCTCCCTGGCAGAGGTCCCCCTTCCCTGGCAGAGGTCCCCCCTTCCCTGGCAGAGGTCCCCCTTCCCTGGCAGAGGTCCCCCTTCCCTGGCAGGGGTCCCCCCTCCCTGGCAGAGGTCCCCCCTTCCCTGGCAGAGGTCCCCCCTTCCCTGGCAGAGGTCGCCCCTTCCCTGGCAGAGGTCCCCCCTTCCCCGGCAGAGGTCCCCCCTTCCCCGGCAGAGGTCCCCCCTTCCCCGGCAGAGGTCCCCCTTCCCCGGCAGAGGTCCCCCTTCCCCGGCAGAGGTCCCCCTTCCCCGGCAGAGGTCCCCCCTCCCTGGCAGAGGTCCCCCCTCCCTGGCAGAGGTCCCCCCTTCCCTGGCAGAGGTCCCCCCTTCCCTGGCAGAGGCCCCCCTTCCCTGACAGAGGTCCCCCCTTCCCTGGCAGAGGTCCCCCTTCCCTGGCAGAGGTCCCCCTTCCCTGGCAGAGGTCCCCCCTTCCCTGGCAGAGGTCCCCCCTTCCCTGGCAGAGGCCCCCCTTCCCTGGCAGAGGTCCCCCCTTCCCTGGCAGAGGTCCCCCCTTCCCTGGCAGAGGTCGCCCCTTCCCTGGCAGAGGTCCCCCCTTCCCTGGCAGAGGTCGCCCCTTCCCTGGCAGAGGTCCCCGCAGGGCCCCAGCTGAATGCAGGCAGTGGCGGCTCCTGAGCCCCATCCATCGCTGCAGCCCTGCAGTCCTGAAGAGGCCGCGCCCGCTGTGGCAGGACTTGTCTCCTGGGGCTGCGGCCTGAAGGCTGCAGGGAAAGACGCTGGGCCCAGAGCGCGAAGAAGCCCAAGAAGCCGAGGATGCAGCTTCTGACCCTCGCTGTGGCCTCAGGTGTGACAGTGTCCCCTGCCATCGGCAGGGCTGTTTCATTCTTGCGACAAGGCAGCTTGCCTACTTGGGGATACAGGTTTTTAGCATCACCTTTCAGTTTGCTTCCTAACTCTTCGAGATCGGAGTCTCCGCTGTCCCCCAAAGTACAGGGCGCCCCTAGGGGTCTCCTTGGCAGCTGCGCTGGCAGGGAGGAGAGCGACCCTCCCTGGGGCCTCAGGGCCAGGAAATCAGGCTCTGGGGAGCTGCAGGCAGCCCCAGGCCACCACCCAAGTACTTCCCTCCTGGCGCTGCTGCTGGAAGCCAGGGAGTACTCTGTTCTGCTCCTGCTTCGCTTCCCTAAAGTCTAAAATCTTTTCCAAGTGGGACAGAGACCAAGAGGTGCAGGGCGGGAGAGGGAAATGGAAGTATAAAGAATTTAAATATCTTAAGTACATGTGCCAACTTGTGATGAATGCCTACTTAATTACCACAGACACACACTAACAAAACATTTCAATGAAAAAATAAGAAGACAGGCCTCAAATTCAATTTCTTGTCCTGTACCTACTCCCTGCTGGAAGGAGTGTACCTACTATTGCCAGGACAAGTCCTAAACCTTCTGGCCTCTGAGTCCCTGGCTATCCCCAGGCCCACCCTTCCCTTGCAACTAGCACACTGAGGCTGCCCTAGGCTGTCCTTGGGCAACAGCATTCAAATACTTTTTTTTCTCGTACTGGAAATTGAACACAGGGTCTTCATCCTGAGCTACACTCTCAGCCCTCTTCGTTTTAAAATTTTGAGACAAGGTCTTTCTGGTTGCTAAATTGCCCAGGATGGAGCCCTTTGTGGTGGCACATGCCTGTGATCTCCAACACTCAGGAGGCTGAGAGAAGAATCACTGCAAGTTCTAGGCCAGGCTGGTCTACACAGTGAGTTCAAGGCCAGCCTGGAACACCAAGCGAGACTCCATCTCAAGAAACATAAACAATAATAAGCAAATAAATTGCTCAGGCTAAGCAACTCTTTATCCTCCTGCCTTAGCCTTCTGGAGTGCTGGTGTTGTAGAATTCAAGAGACTGAAGAGACCACGGATGAAACAGGAGAATGTATTTGCTTTGAGGTGAACATCAGCCCAGCAGACTTGTATCCAAAATGGCTGAGCACCAAACCAAGGAAAACTTCCCTGTGTATACACACTTTGCAAAGGAGGTTGGTGTTTGCAAAGAACTTGTGTGGGGGCAGGAGAAGAACAAAGGTGGTCTGTCAAGCTGTAACAGTTCTGTATCCTGGCAGTCTTGCCCCGGTATAATAGGATGCTGTGGGAATAGGAGGTTATAAAATTTTCCTTACAGGGATAAAACTACAACTACAGGGAGGGTACATTTTGGGAAATGACTTTTTCTTTTTAAGTCCTGCTTCACTAGGATTACAGGTGTACACCACGGGTGCCTACCACGCTTCTTAAGTAAAGGCTGCCTCCCATCGATCCACATCTGGTGCCTGGATGGTGGCCTATAGGTGCTTTCAAAGACACCCCAGACATATTCTGCCCAATGATGCCTTCTCTGAGGTTCCTCACTTAGTTACTTTTTACTGGTTGCTGAGACAAAATACTTGAAGCCCAAGTTGGGAAAGGAAAGATTTATTTTTACAGTTTTTGGAGGTTTCAGTCCACACTCAGTTGGCTCCAAGGCAGGCAGGAATGGCTGGGCCACAGTTCATGGCGGCTGCAAACAGCAAGCAGGAACCAGAAAAGAGAGAAAGACACACCTTCTTCCTGCCATTACATTACATCCTGGCTCCACCCCTT